TCATGGGTAACCACAAACGCCTGTACCAGAATTAGTCATCTTGACCTACATTTTTCCGCATGAGTGACTTTGCATAAATTTATGGTGGAGGTCCATATCTCAGCAACTATAACTTATAGTGGCATGATAATTTGTCAGTGGATACATCATGGGTAACCACAAACGCCTGTACCAGAATTAGGTCATCTTGACCTACATTTTTCCGCATGAGTGACTTTGCATAAATTTATGGTGGAGGTCCATATCTCAGCAACTATAACTTATAGTGGCATGATAATTTGTCAGTCTACACATCATGGGTAACCAACAATATCAGTACCATAATTAGGTAATCTTCACCTACATTTTCTGCATGAATGACTTGATACATATACAGTGGATTTGTCAAAATGCAAGTTCAAATTATTGCGACTCATAACACGTTGCAATATTGCAATAATAAAAACATCACAATAATTTGTGAATTTACAGGGTATATGTATATATATATAAATGCCAATATAATCGCCAAGGGATTAGATATTAAGTCAGCTATTCCATTTCTTTATTATTGTATTTTTGAGTTATTCCTTCTGAAATGTCAATAAATGCTTCAGTTTATCAGACAATCATTTCTTACTAACCACAGCGACAGCAGGCGAGACACAGGGTTGCGGGCAACCCTTACGTACTTTTTTCCGCTGTGAACAATAAAATTGATTAAACCTTTAACCAATGTTTGTTCTTTAAGAGAAGGTATGTAAATACAGACAATGGACTGGCAGTATTGGGGGATATATAGATAGAAATGATCTGTCCATGCAAGTTGGAGAAATTGACATTTAAATTTGGAACACTAGGCTGCCTTTGTATTTGGGCATTGACTATTAATATTTTGTTTGATCGTTTTACTCTCTTGTATTTCTTATCGGTGACATGATTGGTTCATTTCCTCAGTGTACGACACATGGAAACCATCGGGCTATGTACTGTTTGTATGTGCTTGTTATGTAGAGAGAAATGAAACCTGTCAAAATATTTGAATGTGACTTTTGATGTTGTCCCTAGATTTGACATTTCACCATTAAGGGTGTCTATGGACTTTCCAGTTTTGTGGTGACAATACACTGAAAAATTACTGGCTTATGGTAGTCATTATTGGCAGATAGGCTGCTTTGATATTGGATTTTACCTATGGATTTTCACCTGTAGGATATGGATTTGTTATAGTGGAAATATTGTAAAATTAAAGGAATTTGAATAAGAAAAAAATTCAAAATGGCAGCAACATCAACGGTGAAAGCAAATAGGGAACTTCAGATGGTAAGATTCTCAAATTTTGATGGGGGTGGTGGGTGAGATATTACAATATCATGATAAATGCTCTGCTATTCATACAGAATGCATATGACCATGTCATAAACTGTATGGATCCTTATTGGATGTTGATTATGGTGGTATTTGTACCTTTCATCAGTAATAAAAGTTGAAACAAAATGTTTATTTTTATAGTAGCTGAGTAAATTGTTATTTAATAATTGAAAATTTGTAAATCGAGTACATATTATTTCCAAAATTTTATAATACCTGCAGAAATCGTGAAAATTTTGTTCCACTGATTAATTTCATTACTTTTATTTAAACAAAAAAGGGTCCACAGAAACTGTACTTCATGAAAAAGCACCATGATCTTTGGTACACCATGAAAAAGCAGTTTTAAAAGTTGATTCATGTTTTGTACTGTTGGTAATTTTTGTTTACAGAAATTGTAATCAATTTAATTAAGTCTCAAGACTTTTGTATGACAGGAATGAATTGGAGGGACTAGTACTGTGGGAATAGTTCTGTTTACCTATCAGATAAAGACACCATTTACATGGGGATTCATGCCTGATTTCAGATACTCCCTTTAAATATTTGTGACTCTATATTTAATATGCTCTTGTTTTTGGAAGCATCTGTCAGAAAAGATCTCCCAATTCATTCTAGTTGGAATCTAATCTCAGATAATCTGGACAAGAACTTCAGATTACCAGTTTTATTACATAACAAAAACTGCTTTTTTTTTAAATGTCTGTGTGAACAATGTTTACATGTATTCCTGAGAAACAAAGTATAGACATATTGATTAACAGTTGCAAAATAAGTGCAGTAAAGTACATTGCTGTTTGTGAGAAGAAAAAAAACCTCTTCAACTAGCAACTATTCATATCTCCCAAGTATAATAACAAATTCAGGATATTTGAAAATGGGGACATTACCCAGAAGGCAGGGGCTCTGGGGCTGCCTAAAGGCACAAGTTGGTCCAGGGCAGTGTCTTGATGAAGGCCCAGAGGGCAAGGAGTCTCATGTTACCATAAGGCTCAAGTTGGTACTGGACAGTACCTTGATGAAGGCCCAGAGGGCAGGGGATCTGGGGCTGCCCTATTAGGCTCAAGTGGGTTCAGTGAAGTGCCTTGATGAGGCCCAGCAGGCAGTGGTTTGGGGGCTGCCATAGGTCTCCATTGGGACCAGGGTAATGCATTGGTGGAGGTACAGAGGGCATTGGGTCTGAGCTGCCATAGGGTTCTAGTGGGTCCAGGGCAGTGATTAGGTAGGGACCCAGAGGGCATGGGGTCTGGGCTGTCATAGGGCTACAGTGGGCCCTGGGTGGTGCCTCAGTGGGGGCCTAGGGAGCAGCTTTTAAGCCCCAAGAAACTCCCAGGCTTTAAGTATTTTTAAAACAAATTTCTGAGTTATTAGTTAGGTTTTATATATGTAAAAGCAATATCTAGTAAAAAAAAATCATTGATTTCTCTTTACTGATTTTTTAGTCACAATTTTTGGGGGAGAGGTCATGGATCCTCCCGTAAATCTGCCAGTATTCCCCGTTAGGTGGGGGAACAAGTTTCTGTCAAACGTAGATCTACCAACTAAACATGCCACACAAAACCAAATACTGCCTTCAAAATTTGATGAATCTGTAAAATGGAAAGTGAATAAAACATCTATGAATATCGACTACTTTTGATGAATTATTGTGAAACACTAAGTTGATCTTTATGGTGTGGGTAGAGATGTTTTTACCATTTTTTCTTTAAAATTCTATAGATCAGATATAAAACCCAGACTTCTTTCAGACTGATGGTAACTAAAGTACAGTGATTTTTACGCAATAATTAATTCTCCACATATACTACGTAGGAATCTGCAATACCTGGAAAATCCTATTGTTCTTTAGGTGTATTTTTACTACAGTTATTTAATTGCTATCATGTGTCAAATCTTCTCATTGACTATAAATATTATTTTGGCAACAACATGCATGTGTGCATAAAAATTCAAGGTCCCAATTCCTATCAAATTATTATAAGGTGCATTCCATAAGTAACCTTTGTCTAACATCAATTTTGATTGCCGACCACTTTGACAGATGATATAAGTGCATATATTCATCGTCTAAAGGTCTCCTTATCTAACACTGCAGTGACCATTCAGACATTAGTTTGTCAAGTTTTGTCACTTACAAAGCTTTATTTCAAGATGGGCTACATTGAAATTGGTAAAGATTGCAGTATTGACTTCTATACAGAGAGCATACAGTCATTCAAACACTCTAATCCCAGGGATATAACATGGCTCATGTCTCTTAATTCCACACAAACTGTCCTTCTGTGAGAACATTTTGGCCCAGATAAAAAAAAGGACCAGCATTCTTCTGTCTAATTGGTGCAAATATTTGGAAGTGACAGAGCAACAGGGTATGTCAAAGTATTGATTGTCATTGTTAAACTGTCAATTGAATATTGAAATGAATAGAAAAAATGGCTAACATGTACAAGGGCACAATCACTGACAGATCAGCAGGATTTTTATTGGCCAAATTAAAACATATCACAGATTATTGATAGAAATCAAATCTTATTGCTTATTGACAGAAATCATAATTGATAAACTTTATTAAAATCATTACGTTGACATCAGTTTTAAGAACAATTTTATGTGATGTACATGTGCAAAGTAAACTTGAATTGAATGAAAGTATGTGGCAGTTTAATCCATTTTGGCAATAATTCATAAAAACACATGTTTGTTGAATAGCACATAAACTATAATTTTTATAGATATTTTAAATGTTCAGAACTTCTCAGGTCAATTATTTTTTAAAGATTTCAAATAAATGAATACTGTACATAACTACCCTTATCTTTTTCTAAAAATTTTTTCTTTCTTGCTTTTTTTTTTTAATTTTGCATGTTTCATATCTGTTTATAAACTGCAAGAATGGACTTTACTTATTTTGCATGTAGATTTAAAAAGAAAAAACTCAAGGTCATGTGAAATTTCAATAGAGTATGTAAAGGTATTCATGGTTTGACAAAAAGTTGTATTGTATTTTGCCAGAGTTTTAGTTTACTCTAAAGCTTTTTTGGAAAACTTCAAAGAGCAGGACTGAATTCACTTCCATGTCAATACTTGTTCAATCGACAATGCCGCGCCAGGTGTTAATTTCAGAAGCATATATAAATAAAAAGGGGAAAATATGAGTAAATATATGAAAATGGCAACAAAAAATAGGCATTTTATGATTTGTATTATAATTTGAAATTCAGATATGCATTACCTTTGAAAACACATGAAATGTATGTCCTTAAAATTTTTATGTTTGATATATTTGAATTCATAATGTCACATTGTCTGTTATATTACTGCTAAAGAATATGATACAGTTTTGCATTGAACAATGTATTTTTCACTGTTAAGCCAGACCACCACAATTTTAGGTGATCAACAAAACACTTTATTTTGCTAATGATAGGATGAGGTAGCTGTTCAAGAATTTACATATATTAACAATGATAGGAATATAGGATGACGTCGTTGTTCAAGAATTTACATACCAACAAAATATTTCTGTAAAAATCATGAAATTTGGTCATCTCAAATGAAATCTCAAAGTGAATCAGAAAGCCCTTTTTATCCAAGGTACCATAACATTGAAATTGTCTTGTTTACTAAATCCATCGATTTTTTTCTTGCAGCAAAAGTTGAAGGAGGAGCGGGAGGCTAAGCGGGCCCACCTAGATGAGCGCCACTACTACATCCTCCAGACGGTGGCGGACAGTCTCGGGCTGGAACTGTCGGAGGTGGAGGATGCCATACTGGAGGGAAATCAGGTATGTTTAATGGGTGGTGCTGTAAAAAATAAACTAGGTGTTCAGTAAAGGATCAGAACAAAAAGGAAGGTAGGGGTGTAGGTAATCTCCGCTACATCTGTAGAGACTAAAAATTTTGGTCTGGTGTCTCTACTGGTATCAAAATTTTTAGTCTCTACAGATCTAGCTGAGCTTAGGGGTGTAAAAAGAATATATATAGAAGCAATATGTGTTAATATGTAAGCTAGATCATTGGTTACAATTGTGTTGTATGACCCAGACCTAGTATGTGGGGCAATCTGGCCACCAAAATGGATAGAAATCATATGACAGTCTAAAGTATATTATAAAGCTGCTCTTATTGGAAGATTTAGAATTTTGAAGAATCTCAGTTGAATTACTTGAAGTGAATAATACATAATGCAGTATGATAGTATAGCAGCAGGGCTTTTACTATTTTCTTACATAAAGTTTTCAGTATTATAGAACTTGTTTCTAACAAATATCCAATTTTGTCACCCCATTCTGATCTTTCTTCCTTTGGTTGTAGATTGAAATGATGGACCAATTCCTAAGTCCAAACAGTGTGAGCCAGCTTTTGTTCTACTACCAGGAACCGGAACATGTGGAACCAGGTACGGTGTAACCATAGCAATAGTAGTCTGCAGAGTGGCTAGTCAAAGTGTAGAAAAGTATCAGAAAATTGCAAATGATCCTTTAATGGATCTGATTTTTATGTCAGTTGGTCTGTCATGCAATATATTAGATGCTAGTTATCGACTGTGAATTGATTGATTGCATATCGTAGAGTGAAATCAAATTTTATTGTTAGTTATGGTAAACGATACTGCACCATTATGTTGGTGAAAGTTCTGGTTGTGTTTTATGATTTTTGCAGTAATTTTCTTGTTTTGGCTAAGAATTCCACACATATTTTTTTGTATTCCTTCCAGTGCACGCAGGCATATACATTCCTCTATCAAATCGAAGACGAGAATCAAATATGTGTACGGCTCAGTCGAGTATTTTTTTGTGAATTTTCACACTAAAAAAATCAATAATGTTTGAAATGTCTCTTCACTGTTAGCATTTGTGAAAAAAATATTGATTTTATACTAATTCATGATTTCTATGAACAGGCAATTTTTTTCACCTTTAATTCTTGTGTGCAATTATCTGCAGTTATTTAAGAACTTTGGTTTTCTAAACTGTGTGCAGATCGAGTGAAATTTGTTTGCACTTGGTGATGGGACAGTAGCTTCGGGACTGGGGCAAAGGAATTTTCAAAACTTTTTTTTCAAATCTCAGTTATAATTTTTTTTTATACAGAATGCCAAGGTTATTTATTATAGGTGATATTTAGGAAATATATCTTTTATAAAAATTTAATTTAAATTTTAAACAACCATTAGGTCCAGTTGGCATGGAGAGACCTGTACTAAGACACCATGGTTTGTGTTGTGGGGATTTATAATTGATAAAAATTACCGTGGTTACCATATATATCATTTCTCTGGTTTTAACCAAACATTTGACCTTCTGGCATTTCAGTGGCTGTTGGATTTCATATTCCCCAAACTGCCGAGTCAAGGAAAAAAGACCAGAACATTTGTATGGTTCCCTCAGTCTTCTAAACCCTCTATTTTCTCGAGAGCTTTGATATGGACTTTTCAATTAATCACCATTTATCATTGTGAAATTCCAATTTATGCCACCTTGATTGGCAATTTGTCAATTTTTGGCCCTTTAATGTATAGGTGTAAAAGTAATGGGTATTTTTAGATATGGGTGAACAAGAGATTTTTGAGGTAAAGTGTACCCCGTGTAAAGTCCATATCAGGGCCGTACTTTCTCTTAAGTATAGTCAGAATATAGAGATCTTCTCAGTTATTTATCTTTTTTTAATTAAAAAAATTATTCACCACAGCTTAGATTGACGCTTTCACCTTTACAGTATCATATTTATTTAACTGAGTAAAATGTATTAGTATACGTTTACATAGTACATGAATATCAAAAATATTTCAATTTGAGTAATGTAATTCAATTTGCACCAGCTTCATTTTTAAGCTGCACTCCTAACTTAATTACATCATATATCTCCTTAAAAATGGTCTCATATCTATAGAAACTCATTTCTTCAATTTCCACCTAAATAATTTTTCTATTTATTATCTATTCATAAATGAACATTTTCAATTTCTCTTGAAAATTTTCTTTGAATAATTAAATTTGTCATCTCTAACCACAATAGCTTCTCTCTTTCATACAGACATTTATCCAGGATTATTTTTAACTTTTGTTCTTTTTATTGATTTTTAGATTGATTATTAGAAGTTTTTTTTGTCGCAGAGTGTTTTGCAATTTGTCCGTTAAAGTTTCACTAATATAGCTAGCCTTGCAAATATTATTGATGTACACTAGTTTTGCAATTTGGTGTGATAATGCAGTTTGTACTCTAGATATAAATTATGTTTTGACATGCACAATTATGTTGCAGCAGAATTAGATATCAACATGGAATTATATACATATAGCACTAGTCAGAGTGGATTAACATATTTAAGCCATTTTTTTAACATAGAAAAATGCATTTGGCCTTATATGAGTTCATGTATGTAAGAATATTATGTCATTTAGAAATTAAGTAAATCTAATCCTTCTGTATGTGAAAACCTCTGTTATGAAATTCATTGTGCTATTGTGCCAAAATATTATTTAATTGAAAACTTTTAAATGGATCTTGTGAAAAAGTAACACATTATCAGCATAATGACTCCTTCATACAAATATAAGAGCCTGCATGGAAATAGAAAAATAAATCAGCAAAAAACATGCTTTAAATTTTTGATGCATTGATTTTATTAATGAACCTCAGCTTATGATCATTTAAAAAGTATCAGTGGTCTCTGAACTTATGATGAACTTTGATTTTTGACAGTGGACCATTTAAGAGTGGGTCCCCCACAGCCCAAAGTCTCCAAAACCTCCAAACCAAAAGTGTTTGTCACTAATGGACGTGACACGCCCCTAAGAGGACTAGCCCTGGTCTTCACAAAGGTGGCTGAGGCTGATGTCACCATAACAGATGCCAATATCATGAAGGTAAGGTTACAGATGCCAATATCATGAAGGTAAGGTTACAAATATCAATATCATACTATTAATTAAAATGCAACCTTTTAGAAATTCTACAATTTTAACCACTTCTTACATTAGATCCAATCTTATTCAAGTTGCCAACCCCAAATAGTGGTACATTATAATACATCAGCCATACATGTACATGAATACAATATCACACACAATTTTGTTTTATTTCCTGTTAAACTTCAAAGATACTGAAAATGAATTCAAAGAGCATGTAAAGTTATTGTTTGTGAAAAATTCTTTGTGAGTGATTTACATGCAGTGTTTCTGTGATAACAGGAAGTGACCTTCACTCGCCTTGACACCAGTGGGAACGGGAAGAATGGCAGTGGACTTCTCCATGCTGTGGAGACTCTTCTGTCCTCCATCTTTATCCCTGCCCTGAAGAAACTGGACAAGGGGTGGGGCGCCCTGGGTACCCCCTCCGGTGAACAAGTCAGACAGGACTTCCTTAACACACTCGACTCATTTGTCTCAGTCCTTGTGGGTGAGTATTTATACATATATTTATGGAATTGATGTTCATTCAGTACAGTGCTGGTAGATAAGATGAATTTTTTTAAAAAGTTTTTTAAGGACCACATTTGATTAACTTCCACCACATTTAGATTTATTGTACTTGATGAACTCAGAAAAGAATTACTGTGTATAAGACATTTCATATACCCTGGTACATGTGTACTGTTTTTTTTTAAGGTGCACAAGAGAGTTTGGAAGAGAAGGTAACTCTTAAACCCTGTGAGACCTATGACCTCTCTAAGATCCAAACCCCAGCAGACTATCAGGCAGTGGCCAACAGCTCTGAGGCCCTGGAGGGGATTGAGAACACGATGAACGTCTGGCTGAAGCAGCTGGAGCAGGTCCTGGCGGAGAGCGAGCAGATGAGGAAGGAAGCAGATGACATCGGACCTCGCGCCGAGCTGGATCACTGGAAGAAACGCATGTCACGCTTCAACTACCTCCTGGATCAGATCAAAGGGCCTGATGTTAAAGCTGTCCTGGGTGTCCTGCATGCCTCCCAGTCAAAGCTTATCAAGGTTATTATATTTTTTAAATTGGTTATATATCAACCTAATAAACTTAGTATAAAAACATAAGCTGTATAAATTTAATGAATATGATAAGTTACGGATATGAAAAATGTTCAGTATTAACCGAGTTTTGCTGTAAACTTGCTGGTGAAAGTTAATTGAAAGGAAAATTTCAGAATAAAATGTTGCTGACTTTTTCATTCTCTTCATTTTTGCAAAATTATCTGTTGCAGCAATGGCAGGAACATGACAGAAGAATAACTGACCTGGCTAATGAGGCACGAGATAATGTTAAGTTCCTGTACACCCTGGAGAAATTCTGTGACCCTCTCTACAATAGTGACCCTGTAAGTTAACACCTCTTACTCTAAATTTCTGATTTGTTAATGTTATTTTATTCCAAAATAAAAATTACAAATTTATGTTTTACATTTTAGGTTGGCATGTTGGAGGGCATCCCTGGACTGATCAATGCTATCAGAATGATCCATTCCATCTCTCGTTATTACAACACTTCAGAGAGGATGACATCTCTGTTTGTCAAGGTAAGAAACCATAATATCTGCTTCATTACAATACTGCAAAATAATAGACTGAAAGCTGATTTGCTTCATCACGAAAGCAATGGTTTGATTGAAAGTAATTAGAATGGAACTTGAATGAAAGTTTTTTTTTGGCCACAGATTACAAACCAGATGATCACAGCTTGTAAGTCCTACATCAGCTGCCAGAAGACAGAAACCGTCTGGACCCAGAATCAAGCAGATGTTGTCCGTAAACTCAACGACTGCATCAAACTAAACGAAGAATACCAGCGGTGTTTCCACAAGACCAAGGAAAAGCTTGAGAAGATGCCCAACGAGAGACCATTTGAATTCTCTGAGATGTACATCTTTGGGAAGTTTGACACCTTCACCAGGAGGCTGAAGAAAATCATTGAAATGTTTGAGACCATCTCCATGTATTCTCATCTGTCTGAGTCCAAAATCGAAGGTATGTTGTTCACCACTTTTCTCTGTTTGGTGTATTGCATCCATTGCTTCCCATTTATTCAATGATATTTAAACTAGAAAGAATTTCAGCTTATGAAATTTTGGTACTTTTTCAGGAATTGAGCAGTCAGCAACAAGATTCAATGTCATTGTGACAAACATGAAGAAGAAGCCCTATGATTTCTTGGATCAGAGGAAGCAAGAGTTTGAGGTGGATTTTGATGAATTCAAAAGGATGGTGGCTGAACTTCATGTAAGTTAGAATAACAATTGTTGATCAGGTAGAAGTAAGATAAAGGCTTCATCATTCCTCTCAGTTGTTTCAGCTTTTATTGACTAGATACTTTTGAACAATTTCAGCAAAATATCCAGATGTTTATGGACCAGAAGTTTGAGAGAATTGTAAGCACCACCAGAGCCCTGGTCCTGCTCCAGAGGTTTGAGAAGCTGAATCTACCAGGGCTGGGTATCTATGATAAGTACCAGAGAATTCTCAGTCACTACGGGAAGGATATTGAAAATGTATCCAAACTGTACCAGAAAAACAAGAATGACCCACCAGTGGCCAGAGATTTGCCTCCTATCGCTGGTAAGTGAAGCTGAATTCTCAAAAAGTTGTTTAAAGTGTCCTTTAGCCTAATTTTAAAATAGTCTTCTTTTTGAAACATAAAAAATGGATTATTTTGAAAATTCAGAGGAAATTTACACTCATATGTTGCATGCACTGTTTTTGGTTGCATGCACTGTTTTTTGTATTAGGGTGCTGAATATATTACAAACAAGGTGATAATTTTTTTTTCATTTTCACCAAACAGGCAAGATAGCATGGGCCAGACAGCTTTACCGCCGAATTCAAGATCCCATGGAGGTCTTCAAGCAGCAAGGAAAATTACTGGAGATTCCTGAGGCCAAGAAAATCATCAAGAACTTTAACAAACTGGCCAAAGTTCTGCTTGAGTTTGAAATGTTGTACCATAGAGGATGGCTAAGACAGGTATGAAGCATCAAACATTCTTTTTATGCCTCATGCTTTATATGTTGTTAACTGATAAGGAAACATCTGAATTTGAACTTTTACTGCTGATTTTTTCAAGTGAAATCCTTCTTCTTTTTGTAGATTGAGGCAGCTAGATCTGGTCTGCAGGCCTCCCTCCTGATCAAACACCCAGAGACTGCAGAACTGTTTGTGAACTTTGACCCTCAGATCCTGACCATGGTGAGGGAGACTGAGTGCATGGCTAGACTGGGTCTGGAGATTCCACCACTAGCTGTCACCATGAGGGCCAAACAGACAGAATACAAGGACAACTATAATGCACTGCAGGTGGGTGTCTTAATATCTGAACTCTGTAAATTGTTAAATTACACTTCCTGAACCATATTTCAAAATTTATTTTTAATAGGGTGAATTCACCATGCATCGGATACCCCTGTACTTCAACAAGTTCTAGCGATATCGCTACCGACGGAAAATTATCAAAATGGAGTTTAACATTTAGTTTGTGATTAAAATAACAATTTAGGACACAATTATATGCCGTTTATTGAAAAAATATCCCCAAAAATCGAGTTTTTAGAAAAAACAGAAATTTCACCATGGATCGGACATTGTTCACCATGCATCGGACAGACGGTATGGAGACCGGAAAAATATCATACCTTTATCACAATGCTTTAAAATCCTTTATATGGATATATTTTCATCTTTTATCTTAGAAATAACCCTCAACTGTAATTTAATCGACGATATTATTGCACAAATGTAGAACGATTCTAGAGACCTCACTCTGCCTTAGAAATGCTTTAAAATGCTTATAATGCCGTAATTCGCGCCTTTTTCTCATGGTTTATCATACTCTGGTTTGTAGAAATAAATAGAGTAAAATTCCAGACGTCATATATCGATAACTTGTATTTTGACTGAAAATATAGAGTTTTTATTTTCTTTTTCGCAAAAAACAGCTGTCAGCTGGGTTCTGTATGAAAATGGTAGTACTTCCCTTTGCATCGAAAAGTGTCCGATGCATGGTTAATTTGTGTCCGATGTACGGTGAAAGTAGCATACTAGTAAAAACCAGCTCTAATAAGAATTAAACAAGCATCGAAGTGAAATTTAATTATAATTTATGTAAAATTACCAATCCCTGACAAAATTCACCAACGTCCGACTCGTTCCGTGGAAGTCGAATTTAAAAGAACGATAACTCTAAAAATTGCAAAATCATAAATTTCGGGTTATTCCCCTTTGATGATGTAAAATATGACGTATATTCAAGGCCATTTGCGGGGTATTTTTATCACAACATGATAAACACAATCGGTATCATTAAAAAATTTAAATATTGGTCTTTATGACAGAAACAAATGAATACACAGAACTCATAAGTTGAAAGAGAGTTTATTGCCTAAAGTTGTCCGAAGCAAGGTATGTGTCCGATGCATGGTGAAATCACCCTAATCATTAACTTACTATTTAAAATGGTAGATGCTGCTCCAAGAAAACAAGAGAGTAAGAAGCAAGATCCCCACAGCGTTTGAAAGCCTGATGGGTCCACACATCAGCAAAGTGGACAAGAGATTGGAGCCCGGCCTTAACAAGTTGTCGTGGACCTCCCTGAACATCCAGGATTATATACAGGAAGTGTACGGTGTGCTCAGTGAACTGGAACTGCTGATGGACCGCGCCCACGATCTGATGGAGTTCAGGATCGACGCAGTCCTGAAGGAGATGTCCACCACCAAGCTGTGCCAGCTACCGGAGGTCGAACCCTGGCTGTGTGATGCCTTCCTGGAAAATACCCAGGTATGTTTATAACTTCAATTGAAAAAGTGAAGCAAATTATAAGGATATGACAACTAAAAAACATGATTAAGAAAGTTGGTAAAAGATAGATATATGGATTTTTCCAGTAAGTTTCAATCCTTGAGAAAAGTTGTGGATAAAGGGAAATAACCCGTTTAAGACAATATCTTTTGGATTGTAGATGCTGTGTGCTAAGGGAGCTGTAGCTCTACAGACCAAATCTCTGGTGGTGGAGGAAGCCGCCAATGAACTGATCAACATGCTGTGTCCTGCTGATGTAGAGGAAGAGGAGGAGAAGATAGAGATGGATGAGGATGAAGGTAAAAAAACATAAAAACAAGCATTATAAGAAAAATCAGTCAAGTCTTTCTTAGTAAATGTTCATATTAGCTTCAACAAAGTTAACTATTGATATGCTGAAAACAGTCAAAAGTATGATGAAAACAGCCTAGTAATATGTAAATACCGGTAAGTGAAACTTTCTAAGGTTTTGTAGAATACTTAAAGTTTTGTTATTGTCCATTTAGATGAACAACGAAGCCAGGCTGGTAGCCCCACTGGGTCTCAGGGAGCTAGGACCAGCAGCAGGAAATCTCGACCGGTATCCTCAAAGGCTAACCTGGTGGCCAAGAAGAAACGAGAAATGAAGGAGAACATCGAAGAGGCGGCCAATGAGCTGCTAGCTCACTTCAACCACAGGAACCAGGACGCTCTGATGAAGGTCACCAAGAACACTCTGGAATCTCTACGTAAACGAATCACTTCCAGCTCAATGGTCCATTATCTGGGTAAGATTTTAAGGTTTATTTAAAGCCTCAAGGTTGTATTGAGTTTGGACACTTTGTCGATGGTTACATTTTTTGAGTACTTTATATTCTAAAATAACGTAATAATTGTAGGAGATTCTGGAACCTTTGGTGATGCTAAGAAAGACAGTGGCCCCTTCTTTAAGACTTTTGCTACCCTGGCCATTCCAAACATTGTCATGCAACCCGCTTTGGATGAAGTTCAACAAACAGTGAACAAAGCTGCTCAGATGATCATCTCAGTCAGCAAAGGTGTGGCTAAGTGGAGCGAGGAAAGAAAAAGACCCCAGAAATCCGCAGCAGAACGTGAGCATGCTGTCGCTGCCGAGCGTAGACAGAGCATAGTCAGCGCTGCTTCTGATGCTGCCGGAGAGAAGAAAGAAGAGGAGGCCGAGGTGAAGAATTACACCATTACCCAGCAAGCCAAGAACTACTTCAAGGCCGTGTCTGAGAACAAGGAGGTCACTAAACTGGTGTCTCTATTGTCCACCTCCATCAACTCCACAAAGAAGGTAAGCATGGTTAAGGAGCAGTGTTCTTCTGCAAAGGGAGATAATTCTGTTTTCTTTTGCAAAAAATTCCTCTTCAGAAAGAATTTGCTTCAAATTTTATTACATTTCCATTTTCATTTGGACATAGAAAAAGAAAAAAGTTCAATCATCTTTTAGCACAGATCTCATTCTAAAAGATGCTTGCAACATTAGATGTTTAAAAAAAAACAACTAAACAAGCAGTTTTGTTAACATTGATTGGTATATTTACAGGAGGTGACCACTGCTATGGACAGGTTTGCTGGATATCATCCGATCTGGGAGAAGGACCGAGATGAGGACCTTGAGGAGTTTAACAAGGAGGACCCTAAACTGTCTGAGTACGAGGCCAAGATAAAGCACTACGAGGAGCTGGAGGTCGAGATCAATGGACTGCCAGAGTTCTACGATGTCGGACCAATTGCCCTGTACACAGGTAGGGTGGAGAAATTACTGTAAAGTCATAAATCTTCCACTGGGTCAGATTTTTACAATTTTAGGGAAAATATGGGTTCCTGGGGAGTTTATTTCATCAATGAAGAATTGATTAATACTTATACAAATGAAATTCTAATTTCAATGATTTTGTAGTATACAGTTATGGTTTAGAAGGGATTATATGTAAAGCTTTTGCAAACTAAAGTTGAAAGTATGCTAAAAATAAAAAAATGATAATGAAACCTTAAACTTTCCTTGTAAATTAAAGCAGTGTTCCAAGCTTCTCTGATTTTCTCCATGTTCATCATGCTTGCAAAAGGATCAGAAGAAAATAATCTAACATCCATTTCTTATTCTTTTTTGTAGAAAACCTGAAGCTTGGTTTGACCACTGAGACCAGAGCCTGGAAGCTCCATTACGGTAAAGCCTGTAACCAGAAGTACAGCATGGAGATGGAGAGAATCTTCACCTTTATAGAGGACCTCACTAAACGCCTGGCCCGACCCCTCAAGGACCTGGACGACATCAGGTTCGCCATGGCGGCCCTCAAAGAGATTCGGGACGATGAGATCAGGATAGACATGTTGATTGGTCCAATTGAGGTTAGCTTAATCAAAAATAAACTGATTCCATCCTCATTTATGTACAAAGCACATTTAGATAAAACTGAAATGATCATCTCTCTAGTGTAAAAAAAGGAAAAAGAAAGGTGGAAAGAAATTTTTATATCTAAATCCAATTTTTCAAATACATTTAACTATATTTAACATAACTGTATCTGGATTTTTATTTACTAGTTTTAAGTTACAGATTGTTTGAAACATATGGTTTTTTTTTAGGAATCATATGCCATGTTGATCAAACACGACCTGCCAGTAAACAAGGAGGAGACAGAGCGATGTGACACGCTGCGTTACTCCTGGGAGAAACTTCAGGTCCAGACCTCCGAGGTCCAGACAGAACTTCTACAAGTACAGCCTCAGTTCAAAGAGGAACTCATCGAGAATGTCAAGATCTTCAACACTGACTGCAAGAACTTCTACGAGAGTTATGATACAGTAAGGGAAATTTTATTTGGAATCTTCATTTGAAAAAGAATGTTTGTGGATGGATGGTTTTAACATTAGAATATCTTTTATAGAAAAAGTGTTTCTGAATCTTTAGTTTATTGAACACTAGTTAGAAAACTTTGGCAATGAATGTTTGACTTCTAAAAAAAATTCTTTGTACTAATTTTTAGCTTGGCACACTGTCCTCAAATACAAATAATAATTTTTAACATTATAGCAAGGCCCAATGGTGGCAGGAGTTCCCCCTCGGGAGGCCTCTGACAGACTGGTCATCTACCAGAACAACTTTGACGTTCTCTACAAGAAGTTTGTCACCTACACGGGGGGAGAGGAGCTGTTTGGGTTACCTGTGTCCGACTACCCCAAACTGGGACAGATCAAGAAGGAGCTCAATCTGCTACAGAAGCTGTACAACCTGTACAACAACGTACTGGAAACTGTACATGGATATTACGATATACTGTGGACTGACATTAATATTGAGAAAATTAACAATGAACTTCTGGAGTTCCAAAACAAGTAAGGCTTCTGAGAAGAATGAAGAAAATATTTATACATTAAACTTGGTAATTCTGAATGATACATGTAATTTGGAGTGTATCTAAAGATTGTTTTGATCAATAATGAAAAACATACTGTAAACATATTACATTTGGCTGTGTATTCTTTTTAGCGCTTTTGGCGAAAATCAAGTTCCGCTAATTCAAGTGCAATGCTAAATGTCTTGTACATATACAAATAAAGAAGAATTTTATGAGATACGCTAAATCAAATCTACGCTAACTTTTTCAAAAGTCAATTTCCGCCAAATATTGTACACGCAAAATATAATTCATTTACAGTACATGCAAAGGGAAGTTTCATTATCAATCATGGAATACCTTTTATGAAACATGCATTTACACATATATTCCCCTTCAAAGATGTAGAAAACTTCCCCGTGCCTTGAAGGACTGGCCTGCATTTGAAGATCTGAAGAAGACAATTGACAATTTCAATGAAATGGTACCACTGCTGGAGCTGATGACTAACAAAGCCATGAAGCCGCGCCATTGGAACAGAATGGCAGAGGTCACAGGTCACGTGTTTGATGTGGAAAGTGACAATTTTGCTCTGAAGAACATTCTGGAAGCTCCACTGCTGCAGTTCAAGGAAGAAATTGAAGTTTGTGCTAGTTTTGTTCATATTACTCTGTAAATGATATGGAAAAAAGGACAATTTGTAGAGAAAGGTGAGACAACTCCATTAAAATTTCCTTCTCTTCCAGGATATCTGTATCTCAGCTGTGAAGGAGAAGGACATTGAGGCCAAATTGAAGCAGGTCATTGCAGACTGGAATAATAAAGAATTCACCTTTGGTCAATTCAAAAACAGAGGAGAGCTCCTACTCAGGGGAGATAACACATCAGAAATTGTCTCTCTTATGGAAGACTCGCTCATGGTTCTCAGTTCACTGCTCAGCAACAGGTAATGAAAGACTCAAAACTCACAGGAAAAAAGAAACTGCCAAAAAAATATTGTAAAATAAATTGGATTTTTTTTTTTTTGAAGAAATTTAAGTATTTCTAGTCGTTTTGAGTATTGACTGTTGTGCTTCTTTTGTGTAGGTACAATGCTCCCTTCAAGAAAAATATCCAGTTGTGGGTGCAGAACCTGACCAATTCCTCAGAAATCATTGAGAACTGGATGACTGTCCAGAACCTGTGGGTGTACCTTGAGGCTGTATTTGTAGGAGGAGATATTGCCAAACAGCTTCCCAAGGTAACATTTTACTATTTATTGGTGACAATCAAAGAATCCCAGAATCCATGAAGAATTAACACTAATTTTTGATATATTCTGTACTTTCTTAATCTGAATAGGAAGCCAAACGATTCAGCAACATTGACAAGTCCTGGATTAAGATAATGACCCGAGCTCACGAGACCCCTAATGTTGTCCAGTGCTGTGTTGGGGATGAGACCTTAATGCAGCTGTTGCCTCACCTGCTGGAACAACTTGAGCTCTGTCAGAAGTCACTCACTGGGTAAGATTTAGTGCCTCAGGTTTAAGGCTGATTCTGTTCAATGGAAATAACAGGGAACAATGATTTCAATGCTAATGAAAAAAGCTAATTTTTGAGCAAAGAAGTAAAATTTAAAAAATATATATTCATGTTTTTCACAGATACTTGGAGAAGAAGCGTTTGTTGTTCCCCCGATTCTTCTTTGTGTCTGACCCCGCCCTGCTTGAGATTCTGGGACAGGCCAGTGACCCACATACAATCCAGGCCCACTTATTGTCCGTGTTTGACAACACCAAGTCGGTCAAGTTCCACGAAAAATTCTATGACCAGATTCTGGCCATCTACTCCTCAGAAAATGAAACCATTGATGTAAGTTTCTCGCTAAATATTTCTATGAAACTTATTTTTAACCAGTTGTTTAAAAAAGTAATCAATGTTCAGATTTTTCCAAGAGATGTAATTTTCTGCTTTTAATTATTTGAATGAATAAGGCAGATAAAAAGGAAACTAAATATTAATTTTGTGGAGCTTTTAATTTTACAATTTCTCTTCCACAGCTTGAGAAGCCCGTAAAGGCTGAAGGTAATGTGGAGAACTGGCTGATGTCCCTGATGTTGATGGCTCAGAAATCTCTCCATGGAGTCATCCGTACAGCTGCTATGTCAATCCAGGACAGCAGCTTCCAGCTCCTGGAGTTCTTAAACATGTTCCCTGCTCAGGTATTTATATCTTCTTCAAATTACCTTTAAAAAATGAAAGAAGTTAAATTCTTAATGCCCTACTATAATTTTTCTCTCAAGAAGTAATGATTACAGAGATTTTACAATCTTAAGAGGTGTTAAGAGGAAAAAAAAAGAATTTTTGACAATTTCTCTTTTATCTTCTTTCTCCTTTTAAAAATTTGGATTACAGTCTTTAGGTTTGTGTTAAAAAAACAATCTTCTATAATAATTTCATTCAAATCTTCATTTTTAGGTTGGAATTCTGGGAATCCAGATGATTTGGACTCGTGATGCCACGGAGGCCTTGACCCATGCCCGTTACGACAGGAAGATCATGCAGCAGACCAATCAGGCCTTCCTAGATCTATTGAACATTCTCATTAACCAGACGACACAGGAACTCAGTAAGGTGGAAAGAACCAAGTTTGAGACTCTCATCACAATCCACGTCCACCAGAAGGACATCTTTGATGACCTGGTATGTGAATTCAGAATTTGAATAGAAATTTTTGGCACCTTTCAATTCTTACTATAACTTTCAAAGTAAGTTATGACTATTTTTGTTTACCAATATTCTGATTTGAACATATTTTATTTTGTAAAAATTACATAAATGGATTGGGCAGCAGGCATAGCCTATATAAGCCCTCTCTTACTGATATTCTATTCTTATAACTAAATTTGTTTAAGAAATACAGTACTATAAGCAGAAAGAAATTTGAGATAATTTTTGTGTTGTAGTGCCGAAATCATGTGAAGTCCCCTACAGACTTTGAATGGATGAAGCAGTCTAGATTTTACTTCTTGGAAGACCAAGACAAATGTCTGATTTCTGTGACAGATGTGGACTTTATCTACCAGAATGAGTTCTTAGGCTGTACTGAACGTTTAGTCATCACACCCCTTACTGACAGGTAGCACCCTAAACACAATTCTCTTTCCATTCATTTCATTTAACTAATTAAGTGTACTTTTAATAAAATTGATTTCTGACTTTCATTTACATGTATAACTTGTCTTTCAGATGTTACATTACCCTTGCCCAGGCCCTGGGAATGTCCATGGGTGGTGCCCCAGCAGGTCCCGCAGGAACAGGAAAGACCGAAACCACCAAAGACATGGGTCGTTGTCTTGGTAAATACGTCGTCGTCTTCAACTGCTCCGATCAGATGGACTTCCGAGGGCTGGGTCGTATCTACAAAGGTCTGGCCCAGTCTGGGTCTTGGGGATGCTTTGACGAGTTTAATCGTATTGACCTCCCTGTACTGTCTGTGGCTGCCCAGCAGATTGCTATTGTACTGACAGCAAAGAAAGAGAGGAAGAAGAACTTCATCTTCACTGATGGTGACAATGTGGCACTCAGTCCCGAATTTGGAATTTTCTTGACCATGGTACAACATTCACTTTTCATTCATAGAAAAAATATTTCATGTAAATAAATCAATTTTCAAATGATAAAAGAGGGCTAAAAATGTAATTGCCATTTAGAATGCTAGTATTTTATGATAATTCTTTTGCAGAACCCTGGTTATGCTGGTCGTCAGGAATTGCCAGAAAACTTGAAGATTAACTTCCGTACAGTAGCCATGATGGTTCCCGACAGACAGATCATCATTCGTGTCAAGCTGGCCGCAGTCGGTTTCCTTGACAACATCACACTGGCCAGAAAGTTCTACACTCTGTACAAACTCTGTGAGGAACAGCTCACCAAGCAGGTGCACTATGACTTTGGTCTGAGGAACATCTTGTCCTGTTTGAGAACACTGGGTACTGTCAAGAGACAGAACAAAGATGACCCTGAGGCCATGAGTGTGATGAGAGTGTTGAGAGACATGAATCTCTCCAAGCTTGTGGATCAGGATGAACCTCTCTTCCTGTCCCTGATCAACGACTTGTTCCCAGGAATCACCCTGGACAAGGGAGGCTACCCAGACCTAGAGGGCGCTATTGCTAGGCAGATTGAGGATGCTAAACTGGTTGCTCATCCTCCATGGACACTCAAACTCATTCAGGTGAGTCAGAAACAAAATATAATCCTCACAAAAAAATTAAAAGTGATTGAAATTAACTCTTACAGTCTGTTCTCTCTAAGAATTCACACTTTTAAAAATTTACTCCAATTTAATTTCTGCTTTGCCCTAAAAATTAAATTGTGACAACAATTTTTTGTGCCTTCAGTTATTTGAGACCCAGCGAGTGAGGCACGGTATGATGACCTTGGGACCCAGCGGAGCAGGAAAGACCTGCTGTATCCACATACTGATGAAGGCCATGACAGACTGTGGTGAGCCCCACAAGGAGATGAGAATGAACCCCAAGGCTATCACGGCCCCCCAGATGTTCGGTCGACTTGACGTAGCCACCAATGACTGGACAGACGGTATCTTCTCTACCCTGTGGAGGAGGACGCTCAGAGCTAAGAAAGGTATAAACTGATTTAGACTTTGAGTTATATTCTGAAAAAATCCAGTTTTTGAAATAAACTTTTGTAATTGATACATGCATATTGCAAAGATATACAAAAATTATTCAATTATCACTATAAAATTAATATACACTGTAAGTTATAGGGAAAAAGTAGACAGACATAATTTTTCATAATTTGATGTTTAGAAAAGAAACCTTTGTCCTTGTTTCAGGTGAGCACATCTGGCTGGTTTTGGATGGACCAGTAGATGCTATCTGGATTGAGAACTTGAACTCTGTACTTGATGACAATAAGACCTTGACCCTGGCTAATGGAGATCGTATCCCCATGGCTCCTAACTGTAAGATTATCTTTGAGCCCCACAACATTGATAACGCCTCCCCTGCCACTGTCTCTAGGAATGGTATGGTGTACATGTCCAGCTCGGGACTGGACTGGAAACCCATTCTTCAGGTAATGACTCTACTGGAAATTTCAATTGATAAATAGAGTCAAGTGTAGTTAAACTGTAATGGAATTAATTATGTTGATCTGATATTTTTACATGGGAAAACTTCATATTTTTGTTATGGACCACTTTGTTTCAAAATTTGCATTATCTATTCCAGTGCTGGTTGAATTCAAGGCCAATCAATGAACAAGCGATCATTATGGACTTGTTTGAGCGATCCTTCCCTCTGTTATTCCGCTACGCCATACAAAATCTGACCTTCAAAATGGATGTCCTGGAAGCCTTCGTCATCTCTCAGGCCTGCAAACTCCTAGAAGGATTGATTCCCTCAAAGGATGACAAGGATGCCGGGACTGTGAGTCAGTCTCACTATGAACATTTGTACATCTTCACTCTCATGTGGACCATCGGGGCCTTTTTAGAGTGGGATGATAGGATAAAGGTAGAGGAGTTCCTGAGGAACAATGACGAGATCACTCTGGATTTACCACCCACCAATAAGGAAGCTGATGAGACCATGTTTGATTACATGGTTGATACAAATGGTATGTTGATCAGGGTTATCTTAATGTACAAAAAATTTCATAAAGAAAGTAAAACATGAATTTTGAAATAAATGCTCTATATTAATTACACAGCAGCGATTTTTTTCCACCCATTGGGAAAGGGTCCAGTACCGGTTCAATTGGGAAAAATAACATAGAAGAAAAACAGGAGAATTTTCTCACATTTATGCAAATGCAACGTATTTTGTGTTTATTCCAAATTAATTACCTATTATTCCTTGTTTTAAAGAATAAGCAACAAGTACTTATTGTTTTCTATATCAACGTCCTATGTTTTCACATTTTCATGCTTTCAATTTGTCAAAATGTATGACACTACGCTGTCTAAACCACAGGTCCCCGCCAAATAACGACTTTCTCTACTTTCGATTTAAGCGGAAGTGAAACAATTAGTCAACTTGTACAATGTTTCATTTAAAAAGAAATAAGATGTTGTCGTAGTCTTTTACATCACAGTTGAATTGGGAATTTTTAGTCACAGAATTGGGAAAAATTAACGTTTTTTGGCATTGGGAACGGTGCTGTTTATCGGTACCAGTTATATAAGGAAAAAAAACGCTGCACAGAAATGATTTTGGAAAAGAGTGAAACCTAGGCTTTGACATTTGTTTCTCTCTCAAAAACTTAATTTTTGAACAATTTTGCAGAATTTCTTAGCCTCTATAACAAGTACCGGTAAAACTTATGTGAAGTAATTTGCATTATATATTGTATGAAGGATATGCAAAGTAAAAAATAATTGTAGAGCTTTTGCCATGTGAAAATAAAATTATATTATGTATACCGGTAAATGATTTACAATACCACTTCAGATTAATTTGAAATGTTGTGGTTTACAGGCTCTTGGCAGCACTGGAGCACAAAAGTGGAGCCTTACCACTACCCCACAGACAGCACCCCGGAGTATGGCTCTATCCTAGTCCCCATGGTGGACAATGTCCGTACAGAGTTCCTCATCAAGGCCATTGCTAAGCAGGAGAAGGCTGTCCTACTGATTGGAGAGCAGGGTACAGCCAAGACTGTGATGATCAATGGCTACATGAACAAATACAACCCGGAGTATCATCTGGCTCAGTCCCTCAACTTCTCGTCTGCTACCACTCCTCTCATGTTCCAGGTCAGTGATGAATGTCTCATCTATAAAAATCAAGAGGGTTAGAGTTTTAACAACATTTCTTCAAAAAGATGGGGACGATCTTTCATTGAGGCAGTTCAAAATCTCTTTTTGTAATGCAGCTGAAGAATTTGCTTCGATAATGGAAAACTGAATGTGCTTATAAGTTTCTTATGAAAGGCTTCATTTTGATTTTGACAGAGAACCATTGAGAGTTATGTTGACAAAAGAGTGGGCAGTACGTATGGTCCTCCTGCTGGTAAGAAAATGACTGTCTTCATTGATGACATTAACATGCCGGTCATCAATGAGTGGGGAGATCAGATTGCTAACGAAATCGTCAGACAGCTGATGGAATACAAAGGCTTCTACAACCTGGAGAAACCAGGAGACTTCACCAATATTGCTGATGTCCAGGTATAACACAGTGTAGATATATGATAAAGAGAGCTCCTCCTCATTTTCAGAGAGTACTCTATTTACTGGGAAATTTTTGCTCTTGTTTTGTTTCTTTGCCTTGGTCTTCAGTGGGTAAATTTAAATTTGGGGGGGGGGGGGGATTCAACAGAAAAATAGTTATATCTCTTAAAAATGCCATTGTGTCTAGCAAAAATGACCCTGCATACTGTATTTGCAGTTCACTGTATCTGTAGGAAATGATAAACTTGTGAAATTTCTTTTATTACATTTAAAAGTACTACTCCTTCCTTTATTATAACATCCAATGACAAATTGTTTGATGTTACAGTTCCTAGCTGCTATGATCCAGCCTGGTGGAGGTCGTAATGACATCCCCCAGAGACTGAAGAGACAGTTTGTCATCATTAACTGTACTCTCCCCTCCAACCCCTCCATCGACAAGATCTTCAGCTGTATCGGCTGTGGACACTACATCAAGGAGAGAGGATTCAAAGACGAAGTCATCGACATGACTGCTAAACTGGTTCCCATTACAAGAAGACTCTGGCAGCTTACTAAGGTTGGTATGGAAAAATGTGTTGCCATAGGAACCAGTTAATTTGAGAAAAAAGTATTCAGATTTCTGACGACACAACCCCAGTATGTAATATGAATTCTATGTTCCTTTTTTGAATTGCAGATAAAGATGTTGCCGACTCCAGCCAAGTTCCACTACGTGTTTAACTTGCGTGATTTATCCAGAATCTGGCAGGGAATGATTAACACAGACAATACCGTTATCACGTCCTCCAAGGAAATTCTGTGGTTGTGGAAACACGAGTGTAGCCGAGTTATTGCAGACAGGTGAGTGATCAAAAAACTAGAATTGAAGTTTTCTTGTTTGAATTTAAAAATATATATAAACACAGAGAAAAAGATGTTAGTACATTTGTAATTTTAAATGATAGTCAAAATCATGAAAAAGTATTATGTAATGCTGTTTACTTTATATATTATATTAATTTATTGATTGATCTTTACTGTCTTTATAATTTTTTTATGAATGAAATGTTGATGTTGACATTGTGTTGGCCAGATTTACAAACTTTGAGGATCTTGCATGGTTCAATAAGACCATGCTTCGCGTCATCAACGAGGAACTCGGCGAAGCGCTCGGATCCCATGTTGAGTCCACTCATTACTTTGTGGACTTCTTGAAGTGAGTTAAGCAAGCAGCCAGCCTCTGGACTGCATGACCTCTGGGTGACCTTCAACCTGGCTTTTTCCCTTTAGCTTTTTTTTCTTCCGTTTTGGTTGAGGCTTGCACTTTAGAAGAAGATTGGGAACCAGCATCTACTACCAACACAGCAAAAGCTTCACCTCTTTATTTTCTTTTTTTAGTTTTCTTTTCACCTCAATTTTGTTTTTTTTCTACTAACACACAAATGATAGGTTTACGACAGCAGACGATGCACAATGGTTTGAGAAAACCTTGTTGCGAGTCATTGGGGAGGAGATGGGGGAAGATAATTTAGAAATTGTCCGACCCACTTTCTACTTCGGAGATTTTATGAGGTACATAAAATTTCATTCAATGTAATATTATTACTGAAGAAACATCAAATAAACGGACTTAAATATACATGTATGTGTAGTCTCTGTGTAGCGTTCGTAATTGTGTCCATTGTTACAATTAATTCTACCCAGCATTGTAAAAATCTTCCTTGATTGTTTACAAAATAAATGTGTTCAATGGATGTGCATAGTTTGTCTAGAAGAAAAAAAGGAAAAAATACTGATTTGCTTTTTAAAAAAAAAAAGAATATTTAAAAAAATTTAAGTCCCTGTAAGATTTTAAATGAACAGTCTCTGAAGTAAAAGTAGATATATAAATTGGTCTGAAATGACTGAAATCAGATTGAACTTTTGAATTGATAGTGCCTGGCATTCATAAGATATTACAAAAGGTTGCAAAACAGGAAATTCAAGTACATTTAATTTGTCAACAGACAATTTGAAAGACATATTTAAAACTAAAATCAACATATAGCAAAGTTTTCAGCTTCAGTGAAAGTGTTGGGGTAAGATTTCAATTAAAAAAAATCTTTTTTAAATTGAATAAAATAACCCTTTCTTTAGATGTGATGCTTTCTTAGAATTGAGTAGAAAAAATAGTTTATTTTTTAAGCTTTTGGGAATGTAGAATTTCATTGAGTGAATTGAAAATTTCGCAAAAATATGTTTGCATTATTTTTTATTATTGATTTGATAGGCACATTTACTATTTTTAAGAACTTTACATTTGTTTTACTTTGTTTACTATTTTGTTGTACCGTTTCAGTTTTAATTTCAGAATGCACATCTTATTAGTTTAAAATTGGGTTGACAACAGTATCTGTTTTTATTTTGCTTTCTATTTTGGGGTACCTTAGATTTTCCCTCTAGACCTTTTTGCACCTGTTTCTCCAACTAACAGTCAACAATCCACAATTTTTTTTCTTTAAATTTATTCACTAAATTAACCAAAAAAAAACTCTTATTTGAAATTGATATGTACACGTAACTTATAAGAACAAAACATTTTTGAATGTCAATTGAATATTTAACATTATATTAATGGCTGTAAATTTTCAGTTAAAGGTCATTTATAAGAACAATATCCCTCTGTGTTTAATGATTTCTTTAGTTGGCTTTATCTGTTTACATCGGTTGATCTCTGGTTTCTATAGGGATGCGCCGGAGGCCACTGGTGATGAACCAGATGATGCAGACTTTGACATGCCCAAGGTTTACGAACCGGTAAGTTGCTGATGCAAAAATTAAAAAAATTATCAGTTGTAAATTTTTGTTACTGATGTGCATGAAATGAATAAAGATTACAGTTGCCAAAAATATTTCTCATTTAAGTCTGTAAAAAAACATTCTGGTAAAGGTGACCTCGAGTTTCCCATTTACAGGAATTAAGCATCCCCCCCCCAAGATCTTTAGGAAGGAAGACAATTGGGCGGAAAATAAACTTCATGTAATCTGTCTTTATTATATTGTAGATTCCCAGCTTTGAGGCACTGGAAGAGAGGTTACAGATGTTCTTACAGCAGTACAACGAGGGAATCCGAGGGTCCGGCATGGATCTGGTGTTCTTTAAGGACGCCATGATACACTTGGTGAAGGTGTCCAGGATTATCCGCACCCCCAGGGGGAACGCTTTGTTAGTCGGTGTGGGAGGATCAGGAAAACAGTCCCTCACCAAGCTAGCCTCCTTCATCGCCGGCTACAAGACATTCCAGATCACACTCACAAGGTAGATAACTCTTCAGGGTCTTACATAATTATTAACTTGTTTTCAATGAGCAGTGCAAACTTTTTGGATTACTAGAAAGTTTGTAATTTTTGTTTGTGTTTCCAAATGGATTTTGTTTTTTTATTAATTCTCTTCAATTTTTCTACAAGTGGAGGTAGTGGAAAGAAGAAATGGTAAATTGATATTGTGACTATTCATATTGTGTCACATCGTATTGTATAAGTTCATGTACAATAAAAGTAGAGTATCATGTCAAAAGTCACAGAATACAAGAAGTTTTAGTCATCAGCTTGCATGTTCACAAGAGAAGGCTCCAACTATGGAAAGTGAAACAATGAAAAAAATTGTAGAAATAAGCACCTTCTGTAAAATGTACTGTAATATGTAACTTTGGCATGTACATTGATCATATAAATGTTCACTGAGCTTTCAGTGTTTCACATATAATCTCTTACCTGCAGTAATTTCTGCACTGAGTATTCAAAAAAAAGCTATTGCCTAAACCTATGACCTTTCTTTTTCCCAGGTCCTACAATGTGACCAATCTGCTTGAGGATCTGAAGTTCCTGTATCGTACAGCTGGGGCCCAGGGCAAGGGGATTACTTTTATCTTCACTGACCAGGAAATCAAGGATGAAGCCTTCCTCGAGTACCTCAATAACGTTCTGTCCTCTGGTATTGTAAGTACCTCTTACAGTCTTCACGGAAACTCACTGGTCCGAAGACCGAGGCCAGTGAATTTTGATGTCGGGTCAGTGAATATCAAAATTCAAGAAGTCCGATGGGCTTGTTAATTATAAAAATCATACACAGTCAATATATATCTTAACTGACTTACTTGCATAAATTTCATTGATATATAATATAAAAAGAAGAAGCACGTGTTGCTGAATCGTATTATTGTAACCCTATTATAACATGGATGTATTACGTAACAACAGGAACTAGCTAGTAACTATTAACTAGTACGTAAAATGTGCGAATTTCCAACGAACAACTTACCGTAACGCGACAAAGGACGGAAAATGGCAGCATTCAAAAGTTGAAGTACGTAAACATGTATAAATGTACAGTTATGAAAATGTATTTATTTTATTTTTTTAATTAAAGGGCCATTAAAAATTTTGGTGGGCCAGTAAATTTTGAAAGTTCACTGGTCCGACTGGCCAGTTAGTTTGAAAAGTTTTCGTGAAGACTGCCTCTATGATGTCATAATAATCAGAATTTAAATTGTATTTCATCAAAAATTTCAAAAGTTGTCAGTTCCGTTTACTAGTTCTGAGTGTGACTGACTAGAATTTACAGACTGCTAGAAACCCGTCATCCATAGAAAAATTAGATGAATGATTTTTTAAAGATTCAAATAGTGAGTGAAAAAACCAAATTAATGTGTCAAATTCTTTTAAAAAATGAACGGACGTTTTACAGGTTGCCAACTTGTTTGCCAGAGATGAGATGGATGAAATCATGGGAGACCTTATCCCCATCATGAAGAAGGAATTCCCTAAGCGACCTCCCTCTAATGAGAACCTGTATGAGTACTACCTGACCAGAGTCAGAAACAACCTCCATGTTGTCCTGTGTTTCTCCCCAGTAAGTACTCAAAAATTCCACTCAGTGTATTTACTGAAAAGCCTTTCTTTTTTCTTTCAAAAAAAAAATTGTTTAAAGTTTATGCATGATATAATTTCTATTATCTTTAGGTTGGAGAGAAGTTCCGAGCTCGTGCCCTGAAATTCCCTGGTCTGATCTCGGGTTGTACCATGGACTGGTTCCAGCGCTGGCCAAAGGACGCTTTAATTGCTGTGGCTGACCACTTCCTGTCGAACTTTAACATTGAGTGCTCCGCCGAGGTCAAGAAGCAGGTCATTCAAACCATGGGTCTGATCCACGACGGGGTGGCCGAATCTTGTGTCAACTACTTCCAGAGGTAGCTATAAAATTCTTATTAATGCCAATTAAGGAATGAATTAAGTTTAAAAATTGGTGCATATGAATCTTGAGAAGCCATTTGCAGAAAGTTTACACTAGATTCTATTCTTCACCTTTTGGACTTTTTCCATTTTAGGTACCGTCGTTCAACCCATGTTACTCCAAAATCATACCTGTCATTCATCAATGGTTACAAGACAATCTACTCTGACAAGAAGAATGAAATTGGTGAATTAGCTGAAAGAATGAACACAGGTTTAGAGAAACTCATTGAGGCAGGGCAACAGGTGGCAAAACTGAAAGAGGAATTAGCTGTGAAAGAAAAAGAACTTGCTATTGCTTCAGAAAAGGCAGACAAAGTGTTGAAAGAAGTGACAGTCAAAGCACAGGCTGCTGAAAAAGTGAAAGAACAAGTGCAGAAGGTCAAGGACAAAGCTCAGGGCATTGTGGATGCCATTGAGAAAGACAAGGCTATTGCCTTTGAGAAGCTAGAGAAGGCTCGTCCTGCCTTGGAAGAGGCAGAGGCTGCCTTGAACACCATCAAACCGGCCGATATCGCTACTGTCAGGAAGCTGGGTAAGCCTCCCCACCTCATCATGAGGATCATGGACTGTGTACTGATTCTGTTCCAGAAGAGGGTCAATCCAACAGAAGTGGACCCAGAGAGAGCCTGTGTCAAACCCTCCTGGTCTGAAGCTCTTAAGGTACCATCCGCTGATTCTTTCTTATTATTTCCGTAAACTTTACTAGCTTTTTCTCCAAAAAAAAAAACACGAAGCAAGGGCATTTTGAAATGTGTATATGCATTTCTAAAAGTTGGCTAAAAAATTATAAAAATACATGTAACTGAAAGAATCCTTTCTTTTTCCTCTAGCTTATGTCAGGAACCAACTTCCTGCAGTCGTTGATCAACTTCCCCAAGGACAGCATCAACGATGAGACTGTAGAACTGCTGGATCCATACCTGTCACAGGAAGACTACACACTGGAAGTGGCCAAGCGTGTCTGTGGCAACGTTGCCGGTCTGCTCTCCTGGACAAGATCAATGGCTGTGTTCTTTGAAATCAACAAAGAAGTCTTGCCATTAAAGGTATGGATACGAAATAGAACCAAATTTATTTTTCACGCTATTCAATTCTGTACATGAAAAAATATTCTAGGTGAGCTTTAATGATTTGAGTTTTGATTCCAGGCCAATCTGGCTGTACAAGAGGCTAGGCTGGGTGTTGCCATGGGTGACCTCCAGAAGGCTCAGGCACAACTGGATGAAAAAGAGGCTGAGTTAGCTAAAGTGAGGGCCATGTACGACCAAGCCATGAGAGAGAAACAAGTGAGTTGTTTAATGTGTGTTTTTAAAAAAAAAATTGTAAAGCCTATACACAAGAACATAACATTAGGTTGTTGATATCTGACTTAAATTGTTCCTATCTGTAGACCCTATTGGACGATGCGGAGACGTGTCGTAGGAAGATGACCGCGGCTGCAGCTCTCATTAACGGTTTACAGGGAGAGAGGGACAGATGGACAGAACAGAGCAAAGAGTTCAGGGCCCAGATTGGAAGGTCAGTCAGCTTCACAGAGTCAATCTACCATCTTTAACCAGGGAAATTATTCATTTCTTATTTCTTGAGTCTCAAACATTCACGATGTTAAATTTTTTACTCCCAAGTTAAGCTCCTCAACAGGTCATGAATTTCTGTATTTATTGCTCTCAATGTTATGTTGAAATTTTACCAGTGACAGTGGTGGGAGCAGGTGATTCAGTATTGTATCTTTGTTAAATTATTCATCATTATATGTACAGTTCACTTTCAACACCAACACATTACATACCTTTTATTGTTCACGAAACATGGCTGTAGTAATGCATCAATAAATGTCATATTGTCCAAACCCATTATTATGATTATAATGTTCTGCATGGTATGATTTTGTTAAAATGACACTCGAAATGTTTTTAAATTTCCTCAGTCCTTGAGATAAAATTTTCCTCAGTCACTGCAGCAAAATTTACTGTAAATAAAAAAAATTCCATATGTTTTGCATGTAAATCTCCATGTGTGTGCATGAAAAAACCATGAACAGGAAAAATACATTGATTTCTGTAACATATAAAATAATACATCTATTTCTAGTAATATTCTTGTACTAAGAAACATATTCTTGAAAAAGCAGCTCCTGTGGAACATTTTATATATTATGGATTTTTGTGAATTTCTAGATTGGTTGGCGATGTCTTGGTTTGCACGGCCTTCTTGTCGTACTCTGGTCCATTTAACCAGGACTTCCGTCTTCTACTGAACCAGAAATGGTTTAAGGAGCTAAAGAGCCGGAAGATCCCCTGTACCCTCAATCTCAGTGTTATTGACATGCTGACGGACCCCACCGTTGTAAGTCTGAGGTTTTGTTCATGCAGAAATCAATAAAAAAAAATAGAGTAACCAAATGTACAATTTTTGATATATTTTGAAAAGTTTTCATGTAATTCAAAATAAAAACAACCAGAGATATAAATTCTCCTAACAAGCAAACATTGTTTTCTGCTCTAATAAAAGTAAAAAAAAATTCCAAGATAAAGAGAAATAATTCTGTATCAAAGTAATTTATTTTGTACATGGATTCTCTACAAACTATAATGATATCATCAAATTTTTAGATTGGAGAATGGAATCTGCAAGGTCTGCCCAATGATGAGTTGTCCACACAGAACGGTATCATTGTGACTAAGGCCTCTAGATACCCCCTCCTGATAGATCCTCAGGGTCAGGGTAAAAACTGGATCAAGAACAGAGAGTCTCAGAATGAACTACAGGTAAGATTAGATGAACAGAAGGGTTGGAGTTTGGGGAGGGGTCTATCAAGATAGCTTGAATGTGATCAACTTTCTTAATTACTGTAAATTACTTTTTATTCGCGAGAACTTTATTTTCGCGTAATTACGCGAGACAGTGTGCTCGCGAAAATTTAATTCTCACGTATAAAAGCATTCCTTAAGATTATATAGAGCAATAACCACAATTCATGAAAATTTTGTCTCGCTAATCAAGAGTCAATGACTATCTCGCGAAAAAAAGGTGTCGTGGAAATTTAGTGATCTTATTGTGATTATTAATCATAGAGACTGTAATGAACTTTTTCATTAAGTTCTCAGAGTTTTAAAATACAAGCCATGCAAACACCCTGTTTCTACAATTCAAAATTTAAGATCTTTTTAATTTATTAACTTGAATTGTTATGATATCGGAATGTCTTTTTTTATAGCTGACCTCATTAAACCACAAATATTTCCGTACCCACCTGGAGGACTCTATGTCTCTTGGACGACCATTGTTAATTGAGGACGTAGCAGAAGAACTAGACCCTGCCCTAGACAATGTCCTGGAGAAGAATTTCATCAAGGTCGGGTCAACCCTGAAGGTCAAGGTCGGAGACAAGGAGTGTGACATCATGAAGGGTTTCGTCCTGTACATCACCACTAAGCTGGGTAACCCCTCCTACACCCCCGAGGTGTCGGCTAAGACCTCCATTATTGACTTCACTGTCACAATGAAGGGGCTGGAAGATCAGCTGCTCGGTCGTGTCATCTTGACAGAGAAAGCTGTAAGTTGACTTTTTTTTCAAAATACTTGATAAGTTCTTAAGAAATTTTTTATTGAAGAGTCATGTTCTGAGTTCCTTTGATTGCAATGAAGGTTTAGATCGGAGTTATAGTTCTTAGTTCAGAGTGAATTTTTCTCTTTCTTATGTTCAGGTTTATTAAAATGATTTTAATTTAGGAACTGGAATCAGAGAGAGTGAAATTGATGGAAGATGTGCAGTCCAACAAGAAGAAGATGAAGGAGTTGGAGGATAACTTACTGTACAGACTGACCAGTACAAAGGTAGGGCAATATTTCTTCTTCATTCAGCCTTTGATGTATAACTTTGGTTCCCATGAAATTTCAACTTAAATATTGTTTGTGTAAATTAAAAAACAGGTTTTTACTGAATTTATACTGACAACATTTTGAAGGTTTTTAACCGTTGATTTGATTTTGCAGGGATCCCTTGTTGATGATGAAGACTTGATCAATGTACTGAACACAACTAAATCTACTGCACAAGACGTCAGCCAGAAACTGCAGGTCGCCGCCGAGACACAGACAAAGATCACAACGGCTAGAGAGGAGTTCCGTCCTGTGGCTGCCCGTGGCAGTATTCTGTATTTCTTGATTGTGGAGATGGGGCTTGTTAACTGCATGTACCAGACGTCCCTCAAACAGTTCTTGTACCTGTTTGACTTGTCTATGGCCAGGTAGGATTCTTTTTCCATCTTTGCTATTGTGCTTTAATATTTATTTAGGTTCTAAATAGACAATACCAAGCAATATTTTTCAAACTACATTTCTGTATTTTCATTGGACAACAGGTCTGCCAAATCTCCAATCACACAGAAGAGAATCCAGAACATCATAGAATACATGACCTTTGAGGTGTTCAAGTACGCAGTTCGTGGTCTCTATGAGGAAGATAAGAACACCTTCACCTTGTTGTTGGCGCTGAAGATTGATTTAGCGGCCGGAAAAATCAAACACGAGGAGTTCATGACCCTCATCAAGGGAGGCGCCTCACTAGATCTGAATGTTGTACAACCCAAACCTCACAAATGGATCGTGGACCTGACTTGGCTTAATCTGGTGGAACTCAGCAATCTTCACCAGTTCTCAGGAATTCTAGACCAGGTAAAAATGATTTCTTTTCACAGATTGGTATCATTTCTCATGAACAGCATCTTTCACTGTAAAGTAAGCTTTTGATTTTGATTTTTAAGAAATCCTCTTTTTTTTCCCCCAGGTGAGTCGAAATGAAAAGCAGTGGAAGCAGTGGTTTGATAAAGAGGCTCCAGAGGAGGAAGTGATCCCAGATGGTTACAACAACTCCTTGGATGTGTTCCGTCGTCTGCTGTTGGTCAGATCCTGGTGCCCCGACAGAACCATGTCCCAGGCCAGGAAGTACATTGCAGACACCCTGGGAGATAAGTACGCTGAGGGAGTTATTCTGGACCTGGAGAAGATGTGGAACGAGAGTAACAGCAGGAATCCCATGGTGTGTCTGCTGTCCATGGGATCAGATCCCACCAACAACATCGAGGCCCTGGCAAAGAAACTCAAACTAGGTCAGTAGAGAAAATTCTTGAGATATATTTAGGCGGGGGTGGATAGTGGGGCTTTAAAAAAGATATTGGAGGCTTCTCACTGAAGGTAAGAAAAATCATTTGGAAATTTGATGACTAGGATTTTCTTGGACACACATCATAAAAACACACTGCTTTCAGAATGCAGAAACATTTCTATGGGACAAGGCCAGGAGGTCCACGCCCGTCGTATGATGGCGCAGGGAATGGCTAACGGCGGCTGGCTGCTGCTACAGAACTGCCACTTGTCCCTGGACTATGTGGAGGAGGTCCTAGATCAGCTGATAGAGACCGAGACAATCCACCAGGAATTCAGACTCTGGGTCACCACAGAGGTTCACAAGAAGTTCCCCATTAACTTCCTACAGGTAAACATCTGATATAAGGTGTGATCTGCATTAGTTTATATCTGCCTGAATGTAGGTGTTGCCATTGCGTGATAGAATGAATCTTCGAAAAGTTTGAGAGCTAGAAAACTGCTTCAGAAAATGTTATTTCAACAGATTTGTAAAAAATCAATTTTGATAATCTTGTTAAGTTAATGATGGTACATTGAGATCTGTCTCAGATATAGCCTGTTTTTAAAATTAGATTTTTATGTTCTGACAGATTTCCATTAAATTCACCAACGAGCCTCCACAAGGAATCAAAGCCGGTCTGAAGAGAACCTATGCTGGACTTAGCCAGGATTTCCTGGATATTTCCAACATGCCGCAGTGGAAACCCATGTTGTATGGTGTGGCCTTCATGCATACAGTGGTACAGGAGAGAAGAAAGTTTGGACCACTTGGATGGAATATTCCATACGAATTCAACGCTGCTGACTTCAATGCTAGTGTCCAGTTTGTACAGAACCATCTGGATGATATGGATATCAAAAAGGTAAGCAGACTTTACCGTTTTTTTCCCTCATTTGTGAAACCAATTATTTAGGAACATTATAAGAAAAATGCTCATCTGCATAAGTAAGTAATTGGAATCAAACCTTCAATCAGAGTGTTTTTCTGTTGTAGGGAGTTAACTGGACTTGTGTTCGCTACATGTTTGGTGAGATCCAATATGGAGGTCGTGTGACAGATGACTTTGACAAGAGGCTACTGAACACATTCTGTAAAGTCTGGTTTGGAGAGAACATGTTCCAGAGTAACTTCTGCTTCTACAAGGGCTACATTATTCCTAAGTGTAACAAGATGCAGGAGTATATGGATTACATCAACAACCTGCCCGGCACTGACACTCCCGAGGCATTTGGTCTCCACGCCAATGCCGACATCACGTAAGTTAGGATTTCTGTCTTATTAAGCCATTACAGGAATTGATATTGTTCTATGAATTTCATTTTATGCAACTGGAAAGTTCAATTTTTTTGTCTTTGTCTGTGTTCATTTACATGTTACATATAATATATCATTTACAAAAATTTGAAAATGACTTGTTTGAATTACCGTTTGCAATAAATCTTCACCATTTGCATTCTATACTGCAGATACCAGAGCAAGTCAGCAAAGACTGTGTTGGATACCATCCTCGAAATCCAACCCAAAGACAGCAGTGGAGGAGGAAGTGGGGAGACCCGTGAGTCCATCGTCTACCGCATCTGTGACGACATGTTAGAGAAACTACCCAACGACTACGTACCATTTGAGGTCAAGGCCAGATTGGAGAAAATGGGTCGCCTGCAGCCGATGAACATCTTCCTTAAACAGGAGTTGGACCGCATGCAGCGCGTCATCTCAACAGTGAGAACCACCCTCCAGGACCTCAAACTGGCCATTGATGGAACCATCATTATGAGTGAAGCTTTACGTGATGCCCTTGACTGCATGTACGATGCAAGGATTCCCAAACTATGGCAGAAGGTTAGTTACAGCCCTAAAAATCAACCAATCAACAGCAAGCTTTTTTACCCATACATGCCAACTTTTGAAAATTCCCATGGGGGATTTAGCGCGTGACGACAATTTTCAAAGCTCTAAATTCACGACATTTTGTCGTGAAATTAAATGATAATGAAATGATCTTTTTTTAAATTTATAATATTTGATATCACTTATTACATGTACATGTATTAATACAACTTAGGGATTAATTTAACACAAAAAATTGATTTAAAAAATGGTGTTTTTTTCCAAAAGTGAAATATTTTTGCTAAAATAAGTGCTTCTCTCATTAAAAACATTTTTTTTTCTACCAGGACACATAATTTAGTGAAAAATTGAAATATGTACAACTTTTAAATCATTTTTTTCAAAGGCTAAAAAATATATGAGGTTTTGATATTGTAAAGTCCTGTTTCTGGAAACATTTTTGAGACGTTTTAATTATATTTCAATTAATTAGAGATTCTAATAAGGTATTAAATTTACAGAAATTTATACCACCTATCCAAAGGAGAATTATTTTTTTTTACAGTCATGAAATTTGTCAGGCTTGATGGTGCCATGTGGGTTTTTCCTTAAGTCATGCACATACCTATGAAATATTACTTTTAGGAGAAGGAAGGGAAAAGAAATTCTAACTGACATACACTTGATTGTTTCATCTTAATTTCATAATATTTTAACTGGCAAACTTTACAATATTTTTCATTATAGGTAGATAAAATCAGCAGCTATGCTTTGTAGTTTTCTACTTTCGTTTTCAAAAAACGATCTCTTTGGATTCCGATTTTATAGTTTGATTAGTATTTCATTGTCTTTAATTTATGTTCTTAATAAAATGACTAACAATTAACACGTTAATCTATGTGTTTCACCTTGCCTACCCCTTAAAACTGACAAGATAATCTCCTAATTGCCCCAAGCTATAAGCTACTTGTACCTGGACAACTGCGTGCGTTCAAGCGTGAAGTGATTTCCTGTGGCTAACGTTAATTAACATAGTTAAATAAACAATAAAACTTATCTGAGTGCATTGAATAAACAAGTTTGACATTGTTATCCCGATTGTCAAAATTCATCGGTAGGGAATCTTTTATAATCGGAAATTTTGGTGATTTTTTCAAATCGGGAAATTGGGGCAATTTTTCTTTCACGATCGGGAAAGCGGGATGGAAGGGTAAAATCGGGAGGATCCCGCCTAAATCGGGAAAGTTGGCATGTATGTTTACCCAGGGAACACACTTCCATTATGAGAAAATTGCTGCAGTTTGTTATATAGATAATAAAGATTCTTGTATGAGAAAAAAGTGTAATCAACTTATTTTGTTTATAGATTTCCTGGGACTCCAGTACCCTTGGTTTCTGGTTCACTGAACTGATTGACAGAAACAGCCAGTTCCACACCTGGTGCTTTGATGGCCGACCAGTGACATTCTGGATGACTGGGTTCTTCAATGCTCAGGGATTCCTCACAGCAATGAGACAGGTAATTAATAAGCATAGATTATTTCCATCATTTCACTCCAGATTTCAGACTAGCATGCTTGACCTAAATTTTGAATGGAGAAATATTACCAGTCATAAAATGTAAACTGGAATCCCAGCAAATACAGTTAATATTAAAGGTGTCTAAATTTCTGATTTCCTGTTTCAGGAGGTGACAAGAGCTCACAAGGGTTGGGCTTTAGATGGAGTGGTCCTACACAATGACGTTACCCGCCAGATGAAGGATGACATCACCACACCGCCCTCAGAAGGTGTGTACGTGTATGGACTTTTCCTTGAGGGGGCAGGCTGGGACAAGAGGGGCAGCAAGCTCATTGAACCCAAACCCAAAGTTCTGTTTGAGCCCTTACCAGTTATCCACATATACGCCATCAACACCACATCAGATAAAGAGGACACAAGGATGTACAAATGTCCGATCTACAAGAAACCACGCAGGACAGACTTGACCTACATTGCAGCCGTCTTCTTGAAGACCAATCAGAACCCAGATCACTGGGTGCTGCGTGGTGTGGCACTGTTATGTGACATTAAGTAAAACGTTTCTAAGACTTTTTCTTATGGACCCCTTACCAAAGTCAATGTTTACAAAAGCCAGAAGACAGTTTTACATCTATATTCAATATATATATTTTGGAAGTTGTTGCTAAATAATATTCTTATAGTTTCTGTTTCAGAAATATTTAATATTTATACATAGGATTTAGCTCATTTTTGAGTAATTTACACTTTATTGCCAGTTTTTTTATATTGAAAAGAAAATTTACAAATATTTGATATTTGATTTTTTATCCGTCCGTTGCTTTAATAGTTGAATAGGTGTTTAGCATGGTGGTTATGGTGTAGTAAATACTTTGTCAGTAAATTTATGTTACATATGTTGCCTTTTGTTGCACATTTGCTTGAAATTGTTTACAATCTACCTTAACATAGGAGAGCTGTTCAAAGAAAGAGAATATTCATGTTTCTTTAATTGTTTTCATATTGATTCATTTCATGAGAAAGGCCCATAAAAGATCACTAACAATAAGTATGGCATGTCTGATAGAAGGGCTTGGAAATATAAGTTAAAGTGTTGGTACACAAACGTTATTGTTTAAATTAAGTGTAGTGTGTTTAGCATAATGAAAATGATCCAGAAAGCTGTGATATGATTGGTCACTGACCTTTGTCATGTGATTGAATTAGCCGTCCATTATGTCTTTTTAATTAGCCTTTTCAGAGCATTATGTTGATATTTAGGAGAGATAATATATATTTATTTTTTTCTTCATTAGTAACAGATTTTTTTCTGTCTTTATTTCTGTAGCATCCGTTTATAATTTGTTTGATTTTCACATCTTGTGGTGAAATGTTCATATTATTTTATACCAATGTTTTCAGTCGACTACTTCTGTAGTTCTGTTAGATAATAAACTTTATATTAATAAACCCTGCTTTATGTGTGTTGATATTTAAAACACTCGTTTGATGTCAGAACTTGGTGCTACTTTTGCATTACATCATTAAGGTTGATGGCCCTGCACTCTAGGGAGGTTTATTATCTTTGGTATCTAAATAATTAGTAGAAACGCGCTGCCTTCTGATTATAAATCATCGCAAAGTTTACACAAAATATTTGGCATAAGTCAATATTAATACAGAACTTCACTGGCTGAACCATGACTATAGCTATTTTTAATTAAATTGCTTAAAATTATCTAGAATTAATAACAACAGAATGAATTTCTCTTTAGAGATAATGTTAATTTTGTAAAATAATCAATATAAAATCAGCAGAAATTAATGATAAAGGTAAAGTTTCTCAAATGCAAGTCAAATTCAAATTTAAAAGATCAAGAAGGACTTAATTGCTTCAATGAATATACCTCTGTAATATGAAAGCCCAAGTGCCAACCATTCAAGAATTATGGCAAGGGTTTTTAAAAGTAGGTCAAACTCCAAGAAAGGTCCGATCAAAATGACTGCACCTTGAAAGGTCTTGTCAAAATGACTGCACCTATGAAATATCCATAGAATGGTCTTATCAAAATGCCTGCACCTGTGAAATATGAAACCCCTAACTGTTCAAAAGTTTAAAAACGAGCAAATTCAAAGAATTGTGGTCCCCAGCTTTCGGTGTCTTTGTGGATGAGATGTCATGTTTATGACATATTGTGTCAAATATGAACGCCCTATCATATGTCATTTAGAAATTATCACCGAAATTGAATTTTTAAAAATAAGGTCAATTGTGAAGGTCAAGGGGTCAGAAATCATAGCATGCTCGGAAACATCTTGTCACAGGTAATGCACATGTCAAATATAAAAGCCATATCTCTTCTCAATCTAAAGTTATAAGGATCAAGATGTGTTTGTGAAACACTCTTGACCCTGTATGGCAACATCGCAAAGATTAGACTTTTCTTAATTGCAAATTAAATATATTGGTTCCCAAAGTAGGGTCTTTTCACATGAAATACAATTGTGAAATATGAAAGCCCTAGCACCACCTGTTCATGGCCAAGGTTAAAGTTTTTAAGGAAGTAGGTAAAACTCCAAGGTCAAGGTCAAAGTTCTTGGTATCCAATGAAAGGTATTGTCATAAGGATTAAATGTGTGAAGTATGAAAGCCCTCACCCTAACCCTTCAAAACATATGGTCAAGGTTTGTTTTTTGAAAGAAGGTCAAACTCCAAGGTCAAGGTCAAAGTTTTTAGTATCCAATGAAAGGTCTTCTTACAAGGATTACATATGACATATGACAGAAAATCAAAGCCCCTTGCCTTTACGGTTCAAAAGCTATGGCCAAGGTTAAAGTTTTTAAAAAGTAGATCAAACTCCAAGGTCAAAGAGTCAAAGTTCTTGATATCCAATGAAAGGTCTTGTCAAAAGAATTAAATACATGAAGTATGAAAGCCCTAGCCTTTACGGTTCAAAAGTTATGATCAAGGTTTGTTTTTTTTTTAAACTAGGACAAACTCCAAGGTTAAGGTCAGAAGGTTAAATTTCTTGGTATATAATGAAAGGCCTTTTCACAAGAATTACATATGTGAAGTATGAAAGCCCTTGCCTTTACTGTTCAAAGGTTATGGCAAAGGTTAAAGTTTTCTTTATAAGTACGGAAATCTCCAAGGTCAAGGTCAAATTTGGTGGAATCCAATGAAAGGTTGTATCACAAAAAATACATATTATGTGGAATACGAAATTCCTAGTATTTACCGATCAAAAGTTATGGCCAAAATAAAAGTTAAAATTTTTTGTGTAAAGGTGGATCAAACTCCAAGGTCAGGGTCAAAAGGTCAAGTTTGGTGGTACCCGAAGAAAGGTCTTATCTCAAGGAATACGCATGTGAAATATGAAGGTCATAGCTCTACTAAATCAGAAGTTATGGGCAAGGTTCAAGTTTTTGTGACGGACGGACAGCTAGACAGACTGACGGACAGACGAATGAGATTGAATGTCCCCTCGCTTTCGTGAAAGCGGGAGACAAAAATAGATCAAACACTAAGGTCAAATATATTTACACCCTATGAAAGGTCTTGGTCCAATGAAAACAGTGAAGTATGAAAGCCCTAGCACCAACTATGAAAAGTTATGGTCAAAGTTTGTTTTTAAAGTAGGTCAAACTCCAAGGTCAATGGGTCAACCAACTTGGTATCCAATGAAAGGTCTTTTCACAAGGATTACATATGTGAAGTATGAAAAATGATGATAAATTTAACAGTTTAATAAGTTTTTGAGGTGAACTCTAGTGTAATGGTCAAGAGGTTAGATATATTGGAATGCAATTAAAGGTCTTGTCACAAGAAATACAAAATGTGAAATATGAAACCCACAGCTCCAACCAATCAAAAGTTTGGGCAAGGTTAAAGTTTGCAGACAGACAGACGGACGTCAGGCTTGGAATATTCAATTACGGAGCATAAAAATGATGGAAAATCGCTTACCGGTAAATATACATACATGTATAAACAACTTCATTTTATAAATATAAAACTGAAGAATCAGGAAGAAAAAAATTGAGGTAAAAGGTAATCGAAGATTCAGGAGGGGGGATGTTTGTTACTGAACATACACATGTAGTTTTTTTTACATGTCTTTCCGCCTCTCTATCTGTTTGTCCGCAAAAACATTAACCTTGCCCACACGTGTATTCCTTGTAACATGATCTTTCTTTGGGTACCAACATATTTGACTTCTTGGCCTTGGACATCGTCGGATACCCACAGGTGATCACCGGTGGATATCCGACGAAGGAAATTCTGATTTTGGCCTACTTTTGCAGACATTTACCGGAGTTGAATCTTAGCAATATGATTTTTGAAGACATGGGATTAGGATTTTCATATTTCACATCATCTGACACATGTGTAAACATTTGTGACAAGCATTTACCGAGGACATTAATACATTTTAACCTTGACCTTACAGTTTGATTTAACTTTAAAAATTAACCTTGGCCTTAACTTTTAAAAAGTTAGGACTACATGTAGACTCTGTATATTTCACCAGTGTATCCGTACTATGGATACCAATAATTTTGATCTTTTAACAGTATACTTTGGAGTTTGACCTACTTTGTACTTTTGAAAAACGTTAACCTTGGTCATAACTGCTGAACAGTATAGGGGTTTTAATATTTCTTAAGTATATGACCGTTTGACATTGACCCACTTCTAAAAAACATCTGTCTAAAGTTTTGAAATGCTGGCACTGGGGCTTTCATATCACAGAGACAAGGCTTTTCTTTGGGTGACAACATTCTTGATCTTATGTCCTTGGAGTTTGACCTGCATTTGAGATTTGACCTGCATTTGAGATTTTTTTTTTTTACTTTTTATCATAATCTGCCATAGGAGTGTCAGTTTTCAGAAACACATCTTGTTGACTAAATAAAATAATAGAATTACATTTCTTTAGATAACTTTTGTATTGAGATTTTAAGCATTTTAAAAAAAGCTAGATCATTTTTCCTTTTCACAAATGTCAGTAGGAAACCGAGCTTAAGATATAGCTTTTCCATACTTTAGACGGAAAAGTGGAAAAATATCATTTGTTCTGTTTTCCAATTTTACAACAAAATATTGAATTACGTTTACATTTTAAACAACCAAAGACTTGAAAAATTTATGAAGTTCATCAAATAAACGTTTATTTGCGAAAGTTTACAGAAAGTATTACATTAAACTAAAATACCAACGACCTATATATCTTCCACTATTTCCCCCCAAAGTATCCAAATCTCCAGCATCGGGCCGCGGGCTGGACTAGTGTCAATCTGAAATTAAAATGTCGGATTTCAGAGATACGAGTGATGGGGTACACACGGTAAAAGACCTTAACTGCATATCTATTCTGGGTTAATAACTCTTATATTATCTTTTTGTTATGAAGAACAGATGGAATGTGTTAGAAATATTTAATACGTTGATTACACACTTAAAAGAATCAATGTCGATCTTCTAATCCAACCAGATTAGTTTGATAAACGATGTTCCCATGTTATACACAAACTAAATATCTTCATAAATCATATCAGTTATATTTACACAAGATGTATGTAAACATGAGTGTAATATCGTAAAACTACTTAAAAGAAGTGTATTTCAATTTCAAACAACTCTGTATAAAATGTAGATAATTCGATGGAAACAGGACGCTCTTTAATCGCATTATTTCCAAAAAACTCCTCACAAATCTCGCCTAAAAGTGCATGCACATAGCACGAAGTTCACGTATCAGAAGTCTGAGGTTGTTCTGTGAAATATTATATCTGAAAAAGGGAGTACTTTATACCACTCCAAAGAAAAACCAATAAATTGTCTATCACAAAATAACCAAGCCAAAATTAATCGAGGTCTCGTTAATACAATAATTGCTTTTGCTGTGATGAATTATGCAACATTTGGAACAGAGGTTAAAATCAACACAAAGATGGATATGGATTATAATAAAAAATCATTATCAAAATCGATTCCCTGGTCTCTCTGATTGTTCTACATAATAGACAGAAAGTGAGTTTACGTGTTATAGATAATTTATGGTAAGATAAACCAAATCAACAGCTGGAACTTTCACGTTTTTCATTTAAAAAAAAAAAAATTTTTCATCAATCAGATCTTGTCAGACTTTATCTGGTGATTAGCATGATCATATGTATGATGTATGCTTTTTCTTTTCACTTTAATTACAAAATTGGCATCCCCTCACAGCATCAAAAAATGTATTTTGATATGGTAGAAAAGTTCTTCATAGAAAAATGGCAAGCATATTTGGCTTCTTAAAGAATACAAGTACATGTACCTTTTTAATAGTTTTTATATACATTGCACAAGTCTATTATATATCTCTATCAAAAGTTATGAAGGGCTTCAATTTATGGACACTACACACCCTCTTACCCTAAAGTGCCTGCTGTCAGTCGTGTGTTCGTTTCCATATTCTGAAATT